GGGGGGATGGAACAGGGGGAGGGAGGGAAAGGAAGAGAAAGGTGTTTGGGCTTTGTTCATTTTTTTTCTGAGGTGCAAAACAGCTTGATAGTCCAAGGTAATCATATCTTACATGGGAGGGAGGGAAAGGAAGAGAAAAGTGTTTGGGCTTTGTTCATTTTTTTTTTCTGAGGTGCGAAACAGCTTGATAGTCTGAGGTAATCATATCTTACATTTTTAAACTATTGCCTATTTATGATCATATTGCGACTATGGTGTGGGGATTTGTTTTAATACGAGCATTTAAAATTAGCAATAGATGAGACAGCAAAAAAGGTGCAACTATTGTCCTTTCTCATGAGTTTCTACTCTGGATAACTCCTGCTAAGAAGGAAACTTGCAGTTTGGTCTGTGTATCCTGTTTGGGTGAGATCAGGTGCTCTTAACGTGCTTTTTTTTTTTTTATTAACATAGAAGTACCAGAAAATTTTGGTCATCAAATGCATAAATTAGGAACGAAACTGGCCTTATTTTTAGACAATCTGTCTTTCAGCTTAATTTTATGCGAAGTGACTCTGATTGGATACTGCCTTTTGGAATGTAGTGTACGTGTGTAACCTGCCACTCGGTAACCAAGAAGTTTTTTCAATGACTACAATATATGAATTTGTAAATAAGTTTTAAGGGTTTTTTTTTTTCTTTATATGATGTTTGCTGTTCAGACTTTGTCATAGGAGACAAATTTCTGTCGGAGTATCATGTTCCCCTAAATCCTCTGTGGATTTTTGTAACTATGCCTGAACTTAAAAAAGAAAAAAAAGGGAGCCTGACAGAACACTAGGTGACTAGGAACTTTATATTTAAAGAAGTATCTGTTTGCTTTATCACTTTTATTTTGTTTCCATTGTCATTAATAAACAACTGCCTCCTTTGCTCTGAAGTGCTACACGGGACTCTTTTTGCCAGGATTTGAACAGTAATTGTGTGACTTCCGTGGCTGTTGGCGCTTCCTCTCTCTGACATCCAGAATTAGCAGTTCCTAAGAGGAAAACCAGTATATTGTGGCTTCAACTGAATGTCTGTTCCTGCTCGTACAGAAATCCTGACCTTTTTTTACAAGTATTAGATTCTCTGTGTGCTCCTCTTTCCCTAGTGCCAAGCAGCGTTTGGACCTTCCACGATGGTACAAGGTAGAAAAAGAAATATTCAGTGCAACCCATACAACAGTCTTTTGGGTTAAACATCTGGAGAAGCAAAAAAAACCCTTGTGTTGTGTCTCACAGAAGTCTGAGAAGCGGTGTGGATGTTGGAGTTGTTCAAAAACGTTGCCATTTTGAGGATTCCTTGGTTTTAACCGTGGGGGAAAATGTGATGTTTGTGGCGTAATGCTTTGTCTTAATAAAAATTTCATCATCTCTTAAAAGGATGAGTGAAAAAGGGATTTTAGAGTAATTACGACCTTTGTTGTCTTAAGGACTGATAACTCTCATGGTCGAAGGTTTGCTTTGTGCTCTGCCAGGATCTGTGTGTTCCAGTTGAGCAGTATCAGCACGAGGTCACAAGGCTCTACAGAAACACCTCCCAACTCACATCCATCTTGCCCTTCTCAGGGAGCGGCTCTCCCTTGGGTTGTTAAAGAGGAACTATAATTATTTCTTACTGTAGGAGAAGCCAAGATCCAGGGCAGTGCTATTCTGTCAGCTTCTGAGCACTGGGATGTGGGGGATTTGAGGTCTGTGGTCCAAGCAGAAGTGGTGCCCACAGGACTCCTGTGACCTGCGCCTGTATGAAGTGAGGAGACCACCAGGTAGTGGAGTGACACGTTGCTCTTTTTGTACCAAACGCATATGTTTGTGACAACGAAATGGTTATTCTGTTGCTCCAGGCAGCTATTTTAGCACATGGCCTGTTGCCTAAAGCTGCCAGATGTGATGTTGCTGCAGTGTTGTAACTCTTCATTACAGGCATCTCAAGTAGGGTTCACACCAGTGGTTCTCCTCACCCCACCCAAAGCTCTGAAGCTTGTGCCAGATTGGGATGAAAAGTGAAGCGGTCGAGATCCTTGAAGAAAACAAGGAATACGTTGTGTTTCCAGCGCTGCTGGACTGTGGAAGTCTTCACGAGAAGCAGGGGACAACTTGGTTCACACCAGTGGTTCTCCTCACCCCACCCAAAGCTCTGAAGCTTGTGCCAGATTGGGATGAAAAGTGAAGCGGTCGAGATCCTTGAAGAAAACAAGGAATATGTTGTGTTTCCAGCGCTGCTGGACCGTGGAAGTCTTCACTAGAAGCAGGGGACAACTTGGAGAACAAGTTGACCATATGGCAGCAGCGTGCCCTTGTGGCCAAGAAGGCCAATGGTCTCCTGGGGCGCACTAAAAAGAGCATGACCAGCAGGTCAAGGGATGTCATCCTCACCCTCTGCCCTGCCCTGGTGAGGCCATATCTGGAGCACTGGGTTCAGTTCTGCATCCCCCAGTTCAAGGACAGGGAACTGCTGGAGAATGTCCAGCAGAGGATGAAGGGACTGGAGCATCTCTGCTGAGGAAAGGCTGAAAGACCTGGGTCTGTTCAGCCTGGAGAAGAGCAGACTGAGAGGGGATCTCATCAAGGCTGATCAATATCTGAAGGGTGGGTGTCAAGAGGATGGGTCCAGACTCTTCTCAATGGTGCCTGGTGACAGGACAAGGGGCAACGGGCACAAACTGGAACATGGGAAATTCCATCTCAACGTGAGGAAAAAGTTCTTGAGAGTGAGAGCGCCCTGGATCAGGCCGCAACGGGCACAAACTGGAACATGGGAAATTCCATCTCAACATGAGGAAAAACTTCTTGAGGGTGAGAGCGCCCTGGAACAGGCCACCCAGAGAGGAGATGGAGTCTCCTTCTCTGGAGATACTCAAAACCCACCTGGATGTGTTCCTGTCCAACCTGCTGTAGATGGACCTGCTTTGGCAGGGAGGGACTAGATGATCTCCAGAGGTCCCTTCCAACCCCATAGCATTCTGTGATTCTACTAACGTCTCCTGACATGGATTCTGACTGTGTGATGCTTGGCTAAGACTTCTCCTGTCGAGGTACAACAAGCCTTGTTGAACATCTATGAAAACGGTTACAAACCCAGCACATCCAATGCAAACATGGAACTTGTCTAGTCCTCCTTTTTTTTGTACCTGGAAAAGGGCAGTGCTGACAGGAGGCGAGTATAATTGCGCTGTAGGATTCCTTCAGCATTTTTGTGGGCTTTTGCTGGCTGGATAGTTTAACAGAGAGAACTTTGGCCACCATTCCCTTGCTGTGATTTCATCACACGAGAGAAAAACAAGTGGTGTGAGAGCCAGTGGGGAAAAAAAAAAAACCAACAGCCGAACAGAAGTTGCTGTGCAAGTTATTCCAGTGCTGGATTATTTTTTTCCCCCTTATCATTGTTTAAAGTAGTTTCCCATCATCTGTGTGAAGAATGTAAGATGGAAAATTCAGGCCAAGTTGGAAATAACCATTTGTGCACAACGACACAGATAAGGTGACCTCTGTAAGGTGAACTGTTCCCAGATTTTGGGAAGTGAGAACAGGTCAATGTTCATCTATGGCTGAAGTGAAGTTCCTTGTTCCCAGTTCCTCAGGTCAAAATTTTCTAAGTGAATTAATCATAGAATGGTTTATGTTGGAAGGAACCTTAAAACTCATCCAGTTCCACCTGGAAGGAACCTTAAAGCTCATCCAGTTCCACCCATCTTCCACCTCCTGCCAGACCAGGTTGCTCCAAGCCCCATCCAGCCTGGCTTTGAACCCCTCCAGGGATGGGGCAGCCACAGCTTCTTTGGGCAACCTGGGCCAGGCTCTCATCACCCTCACAGGAAACAATTTCTGCCTAATCTCTCATCTCCATCTCCCCTCTTCCGGTGTCAAACCATTACTCTTCATCCTCTTGCTCTACCCCTTGATCAAGAGTCCCTCCCCCGATTTCCTGGAGCCCCCTTTGTTGTCCCAAATTTGGGTTCCTCACCCAATGTGTGAAGAGCTGCTCTGCACACAGAGCCAAGGTATTTATTTTGTGTCTTTGCCAAGATGGGTGCTTGGTGGGAACTCTACAAAGCTGGCACATTGCAAGCTTTTATATTTTACAAAAATAATTAATTAGCATACTAAAGTTATCATTGGTGGCTTATGATTTCACGATAATGGCTACTTATATTCTTGTTTTGAATTAAAAGCATTGTATGTGCCTAAATTACTGCTCATGCTCAGTGAGTAGGGGTGTCATCTAAAATGACCGCAGCTCTAGGTGTGGTTTTCACATTAGGATGAGCTCAGTTCACCTAAAGAACACACTCTTGTTATTTTCAACACTTTGTAACAACCAGCAGCCTTGCAGTTTTAAGGGAATGCCCCGCTTTTCCCAAATTAGGCTCCTTGTGTCTTTTTGCTATCTCCAGGCTGATACAACGCGCTTGTTGTCTTTGATTGCCCAAGGTCTTTTCCTCAGCAACATCTTATTGCTTTGCCTTCACCACCTTCAGGGACTGGAAGGGGCTCCAAGGTCTCCCCAGAGCCTTCTCTTCTCCGGGCTGAAACCCCCCAACTCTCTCAGCCTGTCCTCCCAGCAGAGGAGCTCCAGCCCTCCCAGCATCTCCGTGGCCTCCTCTGGCCTTGCTCCAACAGGTCCATGTCCTTCTGCTGTTGGTGGCCCCAGAGCTGGAGGCAGCACTTGGGGGGGGTCTCCCCAGAGCAGAGGGGCAGAATCCCCCCCCTCACCCTGCTGGGGATGAGCTCAGGGTGCAGGGAGCTTCCTGGGCTACCAGTACATCTTGCTGTTAATTTATAAATTAAAGGATTGACTAATAAGGGATTAATTAATAAATTATGGGATTATTTTTTTATATCAAGTCTTGATTGAGTGGATTCTCGTTTAGTAAGCTGCATACAATAAGGTCTGAGCATCTGACTCTTACATCCCTTTTGTTTATGGCTTAAAGGGAGCCAGAATCTTAAAGCCATTGCTAAGCCCAGCCCCTGAGAGACCGATAATCATCTCAACTCCTGCAGCACACCGACGGCATCGGATTGGAGTTCTGAGGGATTTAGGGTGTGCTTCTGGTTTTAACAAATGACTTGGCAGTTGTGCTGTGGGAACAAAAATAAATCCAGAATCCCTTTTAAAACGCTACAGCGAGTTCCAGGTATTTCGTGCTGCCATCAATATTGTTTATTTAACTGCAGGGGCGGTTGCATGACAGCTATGTTTAATGATGGACGGGGGGAAGCATGGAATGGTTTGGGTTTCCAAGATCATGCAGTTCCAAACCTCTGCCCTGGGCAGGGACACCTTCCACCAGACTAGGTTGTTCAAAGCCCCATCCAACCTGGCCTTGAACCCCTCCAGGGATGGAGCAGCCACAGCTTCTCTGGGCAACCACCCTCACAGGAAACAATTTCTGCCTAATCTCTCATCTCCATCTCCCCTCTTCCGGTGTCAAACCCTTCCCCCTCCTCCTAGGGCTCCCCTCCCTGATCCAGAGTCCCTCCCCATCTCTCCTTGAACCCCTTGAGGGACTGGAAGGGGCTGTGAGGTCTCCCCGGAGCCTTCTCTTCTCCAGGCTGAACCCCCCCAAACTCTCTCAGCCCCCCCTCCCAGCAGAGGGGCTCCAGCCCTCCCAGTGTCTCTGTGCCCTCCTCTGGCCCTGCTCCAACAGCTCCATGTCTTTCTTAGGACAAGAGGAAACGGCCTCAAGTTGCACCAGGGGAGGTTTAGATCAGATATTAGTAAAAATTATTCTACTGGAAGGGTTATGAAGCATTGGAACAGGTTGCCTGGGGAAGTGGTGGAGTTGCCATCCCTGGAGGTATTTAAAAGACAGGCAGGCGTGGTGCTCAGCCATACGGTTTAGTGGTGGTTTTGTCAGTGTTAGGTTGATGGTTGGACTCCATGATCTTAAAAGTCCTTTGCAATTCTGTGATTCACTGATTCTTATGCTGGGGACTCCAAAGCTGGACACACCACCCCAGGTGGAGTCTGAAACTCTCCTTCCTTCTAGACCCCTCCTGGCAGGGTCATACAAGGAGAGGCTGAGGGAACTGGGCATGTTTAGTTTGGAAAAGACTACAACTCCCTGAAAGGAGGGTGTAGAGAGGTGGGGGTTGGCCTCTTCTCCCCAGGGAATAATGACAGGAGCAGAGGAAATGATCTGAAGTTGTGGGAGGGAAGGTTTAGATTAGATATTAGGAAAAATGACTTTCCTGAGAGGGTGGTCAGGCACTGGAACAGCCTGCCCAGGGGGGTGGTGGAGTCACCATCCCTGGAGGTATCTAAAAAACACGTAGACATGGTTCTTCAGGACATGCTTTAGTGCCTGAAATTGTCGGGTTGGGTGTTTTGTGTTGTGATGGCGTGGGGGGGTTGGGTTTTTTTTTGTTTGCTTTGTTTTTTTGAGGGTTTTTTTTGTGTATGGTCAGACTCGATGATCTCAAAGGTGCCTTTCCAGCCGTGAAGATTCTGCGATTCCCTCCCCCCAACCAAACATTTCGCACCCAGAGCGTGGCAGCAGCCCATAGGACCAGCCCTTAGAAGTTTCCATCGCCTCTTTACGCCTTAAACCACCGTTCCA